TCGCATTAGAGGACCATGCATTTAGGGGTAAAGCAACTTAATGAGCCTATCTATTTTTGAAGAATTTCAATAAATATTAATCTATGGCTTTAACGATAGAATATATTGTTTTTTTACAATAAGGGAAAGATTTCATCGCTAAAACGTATGGAAAAATCTAGGTTAGAACCTAACTCTTTTTTGTGAAGTTTTCTTTGCAGATATAACTGTATCTTTCAGATTGGTAATCAAGTAACGGCCCACGCTTCCGTGGATGCCTGCATCGTTACAGTAAACGACGATACTGGAGCAAAAGAGTTGGTTGCTTATGTAATAACAAAGAAGGGTACGGTCTCTGCTGATAATCTAACGCGCTATCTTTCTCAACGTTTGCCAACTTATTGCGTGCCAAAGCACTTCATCTTCCTTGAGAAATTTCCTCTGAATCAGAACGGTAAAGTTGACAAGTGCCGATTGCCAAAACCACAACGACCGCTGACAGTGGCGGAGCCGAGACCTGCGCAAGGAGAGCTCGAAAGGACAGTGGTGAACTCATTCAAAAAGTACACTAACCGACAATACATGGCAAACGAGTCCTTTTTCGACTTCGGTGGCGATTCTGTGAAGGTATGTTTGAAAGTGTTCCGTCATTTTCTTCTGTTATTTGATTCTCATATATTATTTATTCTTTCGTATTAGAGAGCAAAAAGCACAGTTGATCAGTTGTTCCTTTATTGAGCTTGATAGTCCGCCATAAGTATTTATTATCTGAAGTTTGAAGAACTACGATACTGTTATGGATACTTAAGAAATCTAGGGTTCATCAATGTGTCGTTTGATCGAATACGGCGCTTTTTGAGCGTCAAAAAAGCAGAAAGCATCAAATTTCGATACACTATGTTATACGGCAGAAGTTGACAAATTGTGCATTTGTCGAGATTACCATCGCAATTTGAAAAGCTAAAAACGGGGTTGAGATGTATACATTCCAACAAAAGTCTGGCTTGTAAACAATCAGCAGCGCTTGTTAGATTTGCTCTAATGGGTGAGATATCTAAAGAACGAAGTATCTAGTCATGTGCATACAGCTTACGATCGGGGTAAGCATCGCTTGCGACACTCAGAAAAAATGCTGAAGATAGTGAATGTCCTTTTTTTGCAAATCGCCTCTTTGATAATATTCTTCATAAGGCGAGCTAAAGACAAGCTAATCATTATTATTATTATCAGGGCACTACTATGCAAGTAAAATTTTAGAAGAATTCGCTCTTCATCTGCTCTTGAGAATTACACATTCCTGCGACAGTATTTTGTCACGTAGGGATCGTTCCTGAGGCACAAAAGATTAATTACCTCAATATTACTACAAGTTTCCTTCTCCTCACTATCATTCTCTCTAAAAACCTTACAAGGGAAGGATGCTTGGTCGAAGTGGAGGTTGTAAATGCGGTAAATACCATCAAATGTAACTTGAAACGCTGATTCCAAATCTGCCTTCCATATCAGTGAAGCGTAAGAATTTATGAACGTATTTCTTCATCAAAAATGTCAGGATCTAAATTAGGACGCTCAAAAAACCTGGACCCGAAACGGAGGCGCAGCGGCTGTATATTGACGAACATTTATCTTCATA